TTCCTTGAACTCGTGATAACTCATTTGCCGGTTTGGAGGATTTTTCCGGGAATGTGAACAAACAAATCATCGTCGTCTCATTTTCTTATCAGTCTCTTCTGAACAAAGTTTTGGAAAATGTCTTTCAGTTAATCTTTCAGAATCAATATCAGAATATCAGAATTTCAGAATCAATATCTGAAATATTTTGCATCATTTCTGCTATTTCATGCTCTGTTAAACATTTTCGACGCTTCGACATTGAAACAGTAAAAGCAGAAAGAATTCACGTCTAACAAGATCTAATTATTTTCTAAAAACTGAACTGTAAACCGAAATACTCAACGCTTTAGCGCATATAAAACTTCTACTTACAATAACAACCACCACGTGCGAATAAAGTGCGATTTAAAGAGACGTCATAAATCACGCCATTCAGAAACATTTAGTTCCCCATTTGTTTATATAATCAAAAACACGTGTATGTGAGTCATGCTTCTCTCATTTCGAGTAGAAGGTCTAATGTACATGTATCTGAAACCATATGGACATTCAGTGCCATTTGTGGCAGAAATTATAATTTGAAAAACGTTCCAGGGTACTGGCACAAATACGTGACAGTCGGTAGTAAACGCAAAAATGCTCTGGCACGCCTGCGTGTTGTCTGGTAGCTAAGTGTGTTCGTTGCTGGCACGTATACGTGTCAGTCGGCGCGAAGGGGTTAAGTGGTTATGGAGGAGGGGAGAGTTTCGCATTTCACCTACCTACAGACTCTGCAGGTAGTTAAGTTCTGCTGCCTGATAGCTCTGTAGTTAGTTTCTACAAATATTGCTGTCCCAAAATTTTGCTACTCAGTGTCTTTTTAAATTCTGGGAAAAAAAAATCTGAGAGCTTCTATTATGCCCAAGCCTCCCCCCCTCCATTTACATATATGTGCACGTTTTGAGAGCATTAAGGCTAAAAATATTTAAAAACCATGTATCTTAAGAATTTCTGATAGACGGTTTGGAACGTTAGAGATAAAAATGTTTTATTCTGTATAGTGTGCTACCACTGCTGGCTTTGAAATTATTGAGTTTCTTAATCAAAAATTCATTAAAGTTTAAAAAATATATGAAATAAATATTAAAACAAATTCAAGATTCCAGCTTCCATGTGCCCATATTTGGATGCAGGAATACGCTATTCGAAATTTGATGGCTCTAGGTATAATTTTTTCACAATACCAGAAACATGCATACATTGATGCAGGTGCTTCATTATTTAATTTCTTTGAATATAATACAGGGCGATAATATTTTGTGACAACAGTTTGAAAAGTGGAACAGCACTATTTATAGTGAATCAACTCAAAGTGCCATTTTTAAACTGATAGCCCTTTTTGGCTAACACATCTTTGGGCTAAAAGTTTTGCCATCCCTAATTTTTTCTGCTCAGGGCTCCTCTAAATTCTAAAATTTTTGCCACCACTGCCCAGTGCAGTAGCACTGTCCTGTTGGAAATTTAATATTTTAATATTTTTAGCCTTAATGACTTAGAGCGTAAACAAAGCCACTTTTTGGGTTTACACTGATGATCTAAAATTTGGAATTACCAGTCCCCATGATTCCAGATTTTGGGCTTTGTACTATATATATATATACAGATATAGATTTTTTTTTTTTACCAATGGTGGGCCCTCAGCCAACATCAGAGTGGCCACTACTAAAGCCAGAAGTGGTGGTCACTTTATTATGGAGGCACCTAATAGGTGGGCCACCTTTGGCTCTTATGAAAGGACAGACAGTTACAACTATGCCTTCTCTGGGATTCGAACCTGTGCCCTTTGATATCGCAGTCAGCTTCCCTAACTACTGTACTGTCTGGGTGGCGATATAGATATATATATATATATGTAATGCAAAATAAATGAATCATTTTTTCACAATGCTAGAAACATGCATACATTCATGCAGGTGCTTCATTATTTAATTTCTTTGAATATAATACAGGGCGATAATATTTGGTGACAACAGTTTGAAAAGTTAAACAGCACTGTTTATAGTGAATCAACACAAAGTGCCCTTTTTGACTAACACGCCTTTGGACTAAAGTTTAGCATCCCTAATTTTTTCTGCTCAGCACTCCTCTAAATTCTAAAATTTTTGCCACCACTGCCCAGTGCACTAGCACTGTTCTTTTGGAAATTTAATATTATAATATTTTTAGCCTTAATGACTTAGAGCATAAACGAAGCTCCAATTTTGCCATCTTTTTGGGTTTACACTGATGATCTAAAATCTGGAATTACCAGTGCCCATGATTCCAGATTTTGGGCTTTGTACTATATATATACAGATATAGATTTTTTTTTTTTTTCCCCCAATGGTGGGCCCTCAGCCAACATCAGAGTGGCCACTACTAAAGCCAGAAGTGGTGGTCACTTTATTATGAAGGCACCTAATAGGTGGGGGCCACCTTTGGCTCTTCTGAAAGGACAGACAGCTACAACTATGCCTTCTTCGGGATTCGAACCCAGGCCCTTTGATATCGCAGTCAGCTCCCCTAACTACTGTACCGTCTGGGTGGTGATACAGATATATATATATGTAATGCAAAATAAATGAAAGTAAATAATTCATTTAAAATTCATCCCATATTCAATTTGAAATGAGCAATATGTAATAATGCAGAATGAATTTTAAATGTATTATTTATTTTATTTTGCATTATTACCACCACTTGTTGCTAAACATCTGTTGTTGTTTCAGCGAGCAATTGGATTAGATTTTGAACTGCTTTTTACTTTTTTTTATGTATATATATATATGTATATGTGTGTGTGTGTGTATCTCTCTCTACATATATATACGAGGGTTGGAACTTTAATAGTGGCAACACAACTGAAAAATCGCTACGCAACAAAACCAAAGAATATCGCGTGTACCACACGTGAACTACATACCTACCTTACCTCTTAGCAAAAAGACTCGTCCTGGCTACGTCACGCGCATGCGGAGTGACGCGAAGAACGAATCCTTGTATCAGCTCGTGGTCTAAAGTAAGTGTTGTCAGGATGTTTTCAAAACAAGAACAACGATGTTGGATAAAAATTGAATGTACCAGAGGTCGTACAGCATGACAGTGTCATCAAGGGCTTCAAGAGGCTTGTGGGGAATCTGCATTGCTTTACAGAACTGTAGCAAAATGGGTGAAAGCATTCAATGAAGGATGCCAAAACGTGGCAGACATGCAGCGGCCAGGTCGTCCGAGTGTCAGCGATGCAGACATGCAAGCTGTTGCCGCACTAATGGACAGTGATCGCATCCAAATGATTCATCTGCTGGCCGGACAAACAGGATTAGCGCATACGACTGTGCTGCACATTCTGAAGGAACGCCTGTCCATGAGAAAAATTGCTTCACGATGGGTTCCACATCAATTGACGGAAATGCAGAAATGGCTACGATACGATGCTGCCCGAACCCACCTGGAGCGCTATGAGTGCGAAGGAGATGCTTTTTTACGCAGTATCATTACGCTGGATGAGACTTGGGCCTGATCGTATCAGCCAGAACTGAAACGCCAATGAAACGAATGGCGTCATCACGGGTCACCACGATGTTCGAAATTTCGTCAGAACCCCAGCAATGTGAAAGTTATGGTGATTCTCATGTGCGACTGTGATGGTGTCATCCTAACGCATACCGTTTCCCCCAGCGGACCATCACTGCGCAGTATTACTGCTCATTTTTGGAGCACAATCTTCGACCAGCTTTGAAAAAAAAAAAAAAAAGGCGACACTTTCTGCAGAATGTCCTCTCATTTTGCATGACAATGCTCGGCCGCATGCAGCGCAAACTGTGACTGATTTGTTCAAGTGATGGGGCTGGGAAGTGCTTTACCATCCACCATACTCCCCAGATCTAAGCCGTTGTGACTCTGACTTAATTCCTAAGATGAAGGAACCACTTCGTGGCACTCACTTCCAAACTGTTCCTGAGATTCTTGCGGCAGTAGACTAGTTCATTCAAACTATCAACAAAACAGGCACTGCTACAGGTATTCTGTGACTTCCACATCGTTGGAAATGGGTCGTACACAATGCTGGTGACTATATTGAAGGACTGTAAAACATGGTGACATGAATCACTTTTAAATAAATAGTTGCCACTATTAAAGTTCCAACCCTCGTATATATGTAAGTATGTAAGTGGAATAACATAATATAACTTGAACATTTGCGAATGGGTATTTACTGTTAGTAATGATATATGTTTCATATAATTTTGAACTCATTGTTATTTTCCATCATGTTCTTTATAGTAAAGTTTGACTCCCTTTTATTTTTTAATGCAGTTTTAAATAAAATTTACATTTTTCTATTTTTTATTTAGTTTTATAAAAGTACTGATATATATTTTCTGGAGGGCAGTTTCTTTTATTTTTCAATAATAAATGTCAATAAAGGCATTGCACGGGAGCACCATTTAGGACACTTGTTATTGTACTTGCAATGAGAAGGAAACATAGCACACAAATAACAAACCTTGTGTGGAAATCAGATCCACACATTTTGAAATGGCAATCAGTTATATGTGTAAAAGATTTAAATTAATTTAGATGGATGTGTGTACCCTAAATAGTTAGCCCATAAAAGTAAATGGAAAAACATAATGAAGTCATACTGCTTTTTGCCATTAAATATCTGTTTATTAATTGTTTAATAAACCCACATCTGTTTATTAATTGTTTAATAGTTGTCATATAGTTTAAATAAATAGAATACTAATTTATCTTTTAAATATAGTTAAGATGCACCTTTTTTTTTGTGTGTGTGTTCAAATATTTAAAAATTCTTTTACAGTATCTGTAAAAGAAAAATTTCACCCAAATAATAAATCTGAAAGTATAAAATAATACATGTTTTTAAACTATTTAGCTTTCATAGTATATATCTATATCTATATTATATATATATATATATATATATATATATATATATTTTTTTTTTTTTTTTTTTTTTTTTTTTTTTTTTACAGCTAGCCAATGAACTGGTTAGATTTCTCAAAGCAATAGGTAATGTTTTCTTTTGTTTTTTTTAAAAATGTCTGTTACTTATACTTTTTTGATTAATTTATATATTCCAATAAGTTGTTTATTATATTACTAATTTTTTTTTATTCATTGTGTGTAGATGTGGTACTAATATTGCTTTTTTGAGAATATTTGAAGCTGCATTGGTCACTTTTTTTAAAAAATATCAGTATTATATGTACTTTGTCCATGCATTCTTTCTAATGTGTGTATGTGGATATATATAAAACTATGCATGCATAATAAATAAACTCTAATGTTACACTACTGACTGATAAAATTGCTGCATTTTAATGGAAGTGCACATCAAAACTAAGATTGTTATGAAAGGAGAAAAAAGCTAATATATGTAAATGATTGGTAATTCATGGTATTTGCACAATACAGTATCAACAACAGCATGAAAAGACAGATGGAAATGCTAATTTTTCATCCAAAAGTGCATTTGCTCTTTTTGTGTGTGTTGAAGGTTGAATTACGTCTCTTATAAGAGGAACTCATGCTACTCATACTTGTCTCAAAATTTAATTTCTGGAGAATCATAGCTAGTGGGACTGTGGGTTTCCATACTGCCCAACTGTTTCCAGTAACTTGTTATTTGAAATTGCAATCTGTGAATTCAGAATGCTATATAGAATGGTATGTGATATCACAATGACTCCCATTTACGAATGCCTAAGTAAACAGACATCTTGTTACTTTGCTGTAAGGGATCATACAAAGAAATCATGTATCCTGCATCAAAAAATTGGGTGTGTTGCACAGCACCAAATATTCACATGTACAGTGTAATGACATTCTTAACACCTCAGATTGTCGGTAGGGCGACCATTACTGCATAGGGATAAGTGCCTAGAATGACAAATTCAGTGATGCACCATTGCTGCATTGCTGAGCACCATTGCTGAGGCCAAGTGCTCAGCACTTGGCCATTGGTGGGCCTGTGTTAGAAAAAAGATACTTTTGTGGAGAATCCTTTTAAGGCTTGGCTCTTAGCTTGCATTCACATTACATGTAGGGAAAACCATGAAGACCAATGATGGCACAGGCTCCTTTGCTGGGATTTAAACCAGGGTTGAATCGCCAGTTTTCAGGGATCTCGTCACCTGGCCACCTATGGAGACTCAAACATTGAGAGCTTGCATTCTTCATCCTCACATCAGCAAAGATTCTGGATTGATAGTATGAGTAATATTATGTATATATCCTGTTTAGCGGTAGTTCTCAAATCTAGTACACTGACCAGCCACCAAAATGACCAATACAGTCAAAAGTCGTTAATCCGGACTAGTCGGGACTTCGGCGATTCCGGATTATAGATCATCAGTTTAAATCTAGTAAGATGGCATGCAGAAATTCTAAAATTAAAAATATGAAACCGTAATTTATGAAATAGAGAACAATTATGATCTAAAGAGTATCAAAATTTACCAAAAAAAAAAAAGCTTAATATTTTTTTGTTTACTTTATTAAACATTTTTTTCAATGTAAGTTGTTTAAGTTGTTTCATTTTATGTGATAATACTTTCTCTTTAATTCTATAAACAGACATAATTTCATGTTCAGTTACAAAGTTCCGCTGTTCAAGTCCCGTTAATTGCTGTGCCGAGAATACCGACTAACTTGTCAATCAAAATTTTTTCGTTTTCACTAACCTCTCTGTCACATTCTTCATGTCTTTATCCATTTTTTGCAGCAATTCCACTTTTTGTTTGTTGGACATTGAAACATACTTTCGTTTTGTAGATCCTTTGGAAGTTCCAGCATCGGAAATTCTATTTGACATAATCGAAAGTTCAAGTTTACTTTTATAAAATTGCTCTTACAGTCTGCAAAAAATAATAAGCGGGATCCAATTCGAAGATTAAGGAACAACGCAATCATTAACATTAACTGAAATAGATAATTAGATAATTTTAGCATACACCGTCCGTTATACATTAAACGCGCAGGCAAAAACGTATTCTGCACTTGCGCACACGCATATGCACAGTAGTCAAAGTCTTACGCGCACGTGTAAAACGACTGTGCGCATGTGCCAACGCGGCACATGCGCAGAAAGTTTTTAGCTTTGAGGTCCGGATTATAGATCATTCCGGATTATGGGTGTCCGAATTAACGACTTTTGACTGTACTTTGACCAAAATAATACAAGACAGCATGTTTCCTGTCGTATGTTTCTTCAATACATAAGGTGTTTGAATACTAATTCTACCAACACATGCTCCCATCATTTGAAAATTTTTAATCAGTGGTTACAGAGAGATTGTCATGACAACAATCATCAGACAGTATGATAATAGGAACTGTAGCATGGAATTAAAGCTTCATGGTCTGCAATCCTCATAACTACTATCAAAAGGCTTTTTGACTCCATGCTAGGTTGTATGATGGCTGCTGTTATTGCCAGAAGTAGATGTTCAGGATATATATTTTTACATATTGTCTAACTCAAAACTGCTTGGAATTATAATTATTTCATGCTTTCATTATAATATATTTGTAAAACAAATATGATTCTGCTGTTATCCTTCATAGTATAGCATTTTTTAAGATTCAGGATGTATTATCTGTATTATTAAATAATGAAGAATTTATAACTTTATTGTTAAGCTTTTCATATATGTAAATCATTGTATCTCCTGTATAATGTAACATGAAAGACCTCAAAGGAGGGAGAAAGGGTTACAAATGTAAGTTTGTTTAACATTTAGATAAATGGCTCTCTTGCCAATTATCAAGGTAGCGATGTTTTGGCAACTAATTTTTGTCGCCAGTTGTCCGATCTCTATATAACTGTAATTGTGTATTCCTTCCAGCAATTTTGAGAAACCAAAAATATTGGAAATGTCTCGCCAAATAGGGGGAACTATTTAAGACCAGAGAGAGTGTCAGTTTTCAGTCTAGTTCAGAGTTTAGCTCTGAGTATTGAGAGTTTACTGTGTGAGCTATGCTTTTGAGGCTCTTGGCATTCATTACCTTGTGTTCAACATTCTTAGTAGTTTGAAGTGGTAACTACTCATTGTGCGCTGTCATACTTACAAAAGCTGTATGACTACTTTTGTGTGAAAAGTTCCAGAACTGTAAAACATTTTTGAAAAAATAAGTTTCATCAAGCTTTCATTTTGGGTCTGTGAGCATTCAAACCATTACAAACCTGCATACATATAACAGTATGTACACAAGGAGGGGGGATATAAAAATCATGACATGTATTTTTTTCATTACAGCTGTGTACAGCTGTGTGTGTTATATACAACTGTTTTTCAGGTACGGTTTTAATGACATTCAAAGTGCTCTCCATTGGTACTTATGCACTTGTTCAAATATTCTTTTCATTGTCAAAAGTACCTTGAAATTCAGCTTGGTTGTTACCTGCTAGTGCCATTGTAATACTGTATTTGGCTTTGTCGACATCGGCAAAACACTCCCTTTTAAGTCCCTCTTCATGCAGTGAAATAGGAAGAAGTCTGTGGAAGTCAAATCTGGCAAATAGAGCACATGGGTCAAGGTAGTTGTCTGTTTTTAGGCCAAAAATTGGTGGACCCCGAGAGCCATGTATGCAGGAATATTGTCATAATGCGGGAAAGATTTTCTGGAATTTCATAAGGCTGAATGTTTTTGCACCACACCTCTCAGCAACTGTTTCAACACCTTCAGATAGAATTGTTGATTGATGGTCTGGTTTTAAGGGACAAATTCTGAGTGTACAGTTCCTTTGATGTCAAAAAAGCAGTCAGTATTTTCTTCAAATTTGATTTTACCTGACAAGCTTTTTTTTGGATGAAGCAAGTCAGGTGACTTCATTGACTTGACTGTTGTTAACTTTCAGGATTGTACCCATAGTACCATGACTCATCACCTATGATGATTTTGTTGAAAAGCTGTTGATCATCTGTGATTACATCCTTTATTTCACAACAGGCTTCCACACAACGATCTGTTTGCTCTTTGGTGAGAAGTCTGGGCATAAAATTCACAGCCACTCTGCATTCCCAAACTGTCATGCAAAATGAATGGAAAAACACAAATGCGCTGGATAAACTGGTTGATTGTTCTGCATCAAATCTTTCCTGATGAGATTTGGGGGATGTTTTCCATGTGTCGTGCACTTAAAGGATGACCAGGATAGGGCTGATCTTTAATGGCCTTTTCACCCCCTTTTTCTCATTCATATTCTTGCATTTTATTGAGAGCATGTTCTTTGTAAGTGCTTGCATCATCATAATAGTGTCAGCCATGTTTCTTGCCAAGTAAGAAACCAAATTTCATAACCGCATGTTTTTTTGTGAGAGTCAGCTGTTTCTTTGTGTCATGAGTGCACTACTGACACACACATACAGAACTGCCAAAGAAGCCACACACATTGTCAGTTGATGCTGCTTGGCATACTGACCCAAGAGAGGTCCTTCCACAGTGCTGTAGTGGCTCTAATTTGTATTACAAGTACATAATGCACAGGAGTATGCTTTCAGTTACTTTTGGGTCTTTCTGTTATGTATATGTGTATGTCCCTCTCATTGTCGATAAGCAGCGGCAGTGAGAGCTGTTAAATGTGAACACACATAATAGTCCTTTATCTTCTTAGGTACACCTCGAAGCCCAGATTGTGAGTTTTTTATTTTTAAATTTATTTATTTCATATTTTGTGCAAATTTAATGGCATCTTGATTAGCAAACTGGATGCTCTAAAAAGCAGTGTGTTACCACTTGGTAAAGCATAAGGTATCAGTGTTTCAGAATTAATCAGAAAACTCAGTGATTTAAAAGAAATGTATTGCCACTCTGCAAAACTTAAGACATTTGTGTTTCAAGTCTACTCAGAAAATTCAACAATTTAAAGGAAATGTGTTGCCCCTGCCCAGAATATAATATTTTGATTCTGCATGCTGTACTTATTGCTGATAGGCAAAACATATGGTATTTAATTTTTCCTTAAAATTTAATTTGTCTCTTATTGATTAACAAGCTAAACAATTTAGAAGCAGTAGATGCAGTTCCTAATCTCTATTGTTATTAATAATTAGTTGGTCCTGTGAAATTACATTAGAATGATTGATTAAAATCATTATTTTCTATTTCTGTGATTTCTATTTTAGAAGGCTAACTGAACAAGTGGGTAGTAACAGGAACTAAAATTTTACAGTAAAAAACTGCCGTGTTTAAGAGTTCAATCACTTGTTCTTATGCTTAAGCATTGACTAAAATTTAAGATTTTATTTTATTTTATTTTATTTTCACATTGATTTTGTCAATTATCTGTGCATTAATTGGTATTTATCATTTCAAGTTTTCTATAAATTTTAATAATTTTTCAATGAATTTATATGTGTGAATTACATACAAAGAAATCAAATGTTTGGTATCAACAAGCATAGTATTACCTATAATTAAAGCAAAAACTTTAGGTATATTTTGAAATATTGTATATTTTATAAAAAATAATTAATTACAATGTATAAGTATCTCTTATAGTATCAGTAAACTCCACTAAAAATAATAATGGTGATTAGATCATTAAATTCATTTTTAGATCCCAGTGACAACGAAAGTTTGCCACGTTCATTCAATCCTCCCAACAAATATGGTCTTCCTCATTCAACTCCACCTGTCAGTCCTACAGAAGATGATTTATCATTTGTGCTTGGTACTGTGTCATTGACCAGAGGACGTTCTCATAGTACTACTGTAACTCAAAAACTTGCTTCTTCAACTCAGGAGAAAAGTTCTCGCATTCAGCATCAAGACATTTCCAGAACAATCAGTGATCCCCATAACATTCCACGAAAGAGGTGAGATAGTAGACATAATTTATCATCATGTTTAATCTATAACTGAGTATTTCAAAGACTTTGTGATGAACAGAAAATATGTTTGAATTTAATATGTAAAGAGTATCAGTTTTTATCAAATAATAAATAATTAATATGTTAAATTATTTAATTTAAAATTAGATTAAAATAAGAAATTGTTATGTGCTTTCATTGTAAGTATTAAAAATACACATCTTAGTTTCTTCATGAATACTTTTCTTTTCCCTCTGTCTTTCTTTATCAAGTGTATTACATGGACCTGCTGAAGATTCATACATTTTTTAGCATGTCTTATAGCTACTCATGAAATATTGTTCCCAAATACTTATTATATTGTTTTATAGACAATAAAACTTGCTTATCTAAGTTCTTATGGAAACAGCAACATTATCAAGATATGTAGTTTCATATGCATATTCTGTTTATTTCTAAACAGGTGTTTGTATTTTATTATAACTAATACAGTGAGACCTCCTTAAGAAAACTGTGCATGAATCCAGACAGTTTTATTTTTTAATATTAGTTGTTGCTTTATTTGCATGACTGTTTGTGATATTCAGTTTAGTTATTTATTTATATTCTCAGAATTATTAACCTATTTTTTAGGTACTCCTTTATGATAGGTCGCCCTCTACACATTTATCAAGTGTTTTCGTTAAGTGAATTAAATTTATTATGTCATCATGTTTCATTTATGAAAACATGTTTAATGTTATGTATTATGTTTCATTTATGAAAAACCATCAGTGGCAGAAATTTTTCAGATTCATTTTTTAGATGCTAATACAGTTTTTTAAATGTTAATAGTATTTTTTAAGATGTTAATACATTTATTACATGGACTTTACTCTATTTACCATCTTAAAGGGTTTAATAGAAGAAGTACCTAAATCTGGCTGAATGTCTTGAAATGAAAATAGTTAATAAGTGTACTTGTTTGGCTAGTTTTTCTTTTATTTTTTCCATTTTTTATTAAAATTTTTTTCCTGTTGGAAGTTTGACTACAGAGTTTAGGTTTTGAAAGCAGATTATGTTAATGTAATTTTGCTTAACTTTGATTTTATAGAATACTTTGGTCTGGCAGTTCTAAGCTAAGGATTAAATATTGAAGATTACATCTCTAATTTTTAATAAAAGCATTCTTCTGTTAATTCAATTTATAATTTTAGAGCACACAGTATTCAGATTGAAGTCAGCTGTATTTTAATCAAATTATGACCAAATAATATAATAGATGGAAAACGATTAAAGAAAAGGTTGTATTGAATAATAGATATCATAAAAATTGCACAGTGTTGTCAGCAGCTCTTATATTTCTTAAACTGTATGTTTTGCATGCAAAACAAATGCCAACATTTGTATATGATCCAATATCTTATCCAATTTAGCTGATGTCTTGAGATAGGATTATGCAAAGTGGATTTAGAGCATCTGGCACTGGATGTATCTAATTAAGAAAAGGATCACACATATGGGAAGAAGTGAAAAGTTATTGAATTTTTCCTGTATGCAAAGTAACAGTGTTAAGTTATGCCTGAAGAGAAAGAGTTGTAGCATTTTATGTTTAGACACACTAAATTGTGTAATGAACATGTGATTAGATCAGTAAAGCTGTATAAAACTGAACTATATATCAAATCATTTCAGGAACAGTGCAGCATTTGAGGATAAGTTGCAGGAGTTGTTAATTTAACATATTTATTTATTTTATTTTATTGATAAAATCTTTTTACCAATATCTTCCCTCTATGCAAAAATACTGCTGAAATCACACTATATATGTTTTAAATGTGATATTTTGAATTCCAGAACACCCTTCTTTTTAAATTTTATGGTTTTTTTTAATATGTGAATTTTATATTTAGCTTATTGTAAAATATTTTTGCATGTACTAAATGTGTATAGATGATGTGTACAAAGTTAAATATTTTACATTTTTTAAATAGTATTTGATTTCTGGCTTTTTGTAATATGCTTTTATTACATTTATTTGCAGAAGAATTTCTGATCACAAAGAAAAGGGAACATCTGAAGAATTTTTTATAGATACATTATTAGCTCGCCATGCAAGAAAACTTCTCAGGGCTGGAAAATTAAAAGATTTGGGATATTTTGCTGCCTATCTTGATTTTCATTTAGTGACATTTTTTTCTAAAGAAAGGTAATTTTTTTTTAGATTATAATAATTTATTTCATTGAAGCTGAATTAACTAATGTGATACAGATGAATTAGTGTGAAATTTTAATTAAATAAATGTATTTGTTCTTATTAGAAGTGGAGCTGCCCATGTTGACGATTTTATTAGAGCTTTATTTACATTGCATCAAGATTTTCAGTGGCCTTTTCCATTGTCATCTGCGATTTTTTCCTCTTATTCTGTAAATAAAAATTCAGGTAATCTTACTATTTCCTTTTTTTTTTTTTTTTTTTTTTTTTTTGTTGTTGTTGTTGTTGTTGGAATTATACTTGATGCATGTTGTATCAAATCTAAAAATATTTTCTGAGAAAACTGGAATAAATCCTTTGATGCTGAAACAAATGCAACATAAATGTATAAAACTGTCAGTCAAAAATTTCATTAAAAATAGATGAAATGAAACATGCATTTTACCATTTTGTGAAAGTATTTAATTGGTTTGTGATATAATTAGGTCTGATTAAAATATATATAGAATTTCTTTCTCAGTGAAACGGCTGGAAAGTACCATCATACATTAAGATGGATTCATACTAGCTTTTTGTATTGATTTCCATTAACAGATGGGCTGGAGATATTGAATGATAAAGAGCAAATTTTGTAAGTTTAGCCTCATTTTTATGGCAATAATGTGTTACTTCCTTGGTATAGTTTGGTGGGAAAACAATTAGCTATAAAATATGTAATTCATCCCCTCTGTTTAACAAAAGAGCTGCTAATATTTCACTCAATACAGTATCTGTGACTCAAAGACTGGGCACTATATTCTCTTTAGGAATAGAATGTTTCCACTTCTGTGTTGAATGAAAGCTATATGTGAAATGTGTACTGTGGCAGCGGTTTCTGTTTTCAAAGATTTAGTCATACACTAGATCAACTTATTAATTTTGTATAAATTTCTTGTTATTTTCTTAAAAAAGAGAATGCTTTCTAAAAATGTTAGATTTTAGACCCCCCCTTTCTTTTCTTTTCTCTTTTTTTTTGGGGGGGGGTCAGTTTCATTGGTACATAAAAATGGTATAAGTAATTTCATAGTTCATGTTATATATGTGTATATCAATGTATATATTATATACACATAGAGTATTTTGTATGTATAGATACAAAGTAGAGAAATGTATGTATTTTTTACTCACTTATATTATAAAATGCTATATCAATCATACTGAAAACGCTTATGATGATCATTTTTGAAAGTAAGCAGAACATTGAAAATATCAGAAAAATCCTTACCAAAATGACTTCCACAGGAAACCAAATCTATCTGAAACTGTTGGTAGTTATCTTAGAAAGGATTCACTATATATGGAACAGAAGTATGCCAATTTCAAATTCAAAATTAGGCAAAAGGTAATTTATACAGATGTTAATTTTATGGAACCTATTAAGTAACCAAATATTTTTGCATTTTGAAAAAATGTGGTGCCAAACAGGGCCGATGGCAGAATAAGTGCACTTGAACTAGGTGGCAAAATTTGTAAGATTTGGTACCAAGTGGCAAAAACCTTAATGCTGTGTCAGGAAGCTGGCAGATATGTTAATGGCTAAAAGTTCTAAATAAGCCTATGAGAAAATAATAAATGTATTAATGTTATTAACACAGAATAAATGGTTTCTTTTTTTTAATTGGGAAATGTTTGGGAAAAGTGTGAAGAATAATGTTATCTGGATTCTTTACAGTACATCGTTATCATTATGACTTCATTACTTAAATGATGCCAAGAATCTTCTTGTTAGTGGACTATGTCAAAATGGCAACCCTACTCAGACTGTTCTGTTAATGGGCATATAGTGATTATGGTTAGGACTGTCAGCCGTTTGGCAATGGCATATAAAGAGTACCATGTTGATTGCTATTTTGGTGCAAGTCAGCAGTTTAAATAACAATGCCTATAATAATAAGGATGCGCCTTTCTTTTGATTTCAAATGCATTTCTCTTTTCTTTATTTTCTCTTCTTTTACACAATTTTTTCTATTCAGAAGTGTGGAAAACTACAAAAAAGATTCTAATATTGACATATGTACAGGCCATCTATAGAAAAGAATTTTTGGTGTTAATAAAAATTACTCTAACGAAAATTAACAGTTTAAAATATCCATATTATATATCTGAATATGTATTATATCATCTCATAAAGGTTTTCTGGAGTTATTCTCAGTATTGAATTAAAGAAATAAGATTAGATAATAAGATCTGCACAATTTAAATGCAATTTTTTTAATCAAAGTTTATATATATATATATATTAATTATTAAAAAAAAATCAGAAACAATTTTTTAGAAAAAGAAGTTTATTTTTTTTTAATTAAGTCTGGAAATTTATAGATGAAGAGAAAAATTATTGAATAAAAAATTGGTTACATAAAACAAAATAAAATTCTTCTTTATATGGATGTTGAAGATTTTAACAAATTAGCAGATGATGCAAAGACTAATCTGAACATTAATTTATTTATTAAAGCTGATGTACTAAAAGAATAAAGAGGATGGAACAGATGTAAATAAGCAAAAATACCTGTAAAATGTCAAATTAAGAAGACAATTAATTGTTGTTCTTAATTTGACATTTAAAATTGACATTTATTGTGTCGTATATGGATAAACTGATTAATTAAGTGGTTCAGTGGTCATTATATCAAATTTTCAGTATTAATCACAATCAGTAATAACAAAATTAATTTAATTAACAATCCATGTATCATAATCTGATGTGTCTCCTTTATCATGTCTCACATCCATCTGCATGAACACACATAATAGCGCTCTTAGCGTCCCCTAGTGGTGAGCAGGTGTATCCATCATGTTTTGGATGTTTTGTTATATAGGTAATATAATTTAAAAACCAACACTGTGTATATAATAACAAATTGTGTATGTAATTAAGTGTTAAGCTGAGAAATTTGCTTACACCATGGTTTTAATAGTGCGCCCAGATGGTATAGTAGTTAGGAGAGCTAACTATGATACCAAAGGGCTCTTGTTCGAATCCCTGAGAAGGCATGAATGTAAATTGTCTGTCCCCTCATAGGAGGTAACGGTGGCCTCTTGTTAGGTTCTTCCACAATAAAATGGTCACCACTTTTGGCCTTAAAAATGGCCAATGCCATTGTAGGCAAGTGCCCGCCATTTGGAAAAAAAAAAAAAAAAAAGTTTTTAATAAGTGCAAAATATGTATTGTAAAATATAAACGTTTCACAAAATTATGTTTGTAATTTAATGTTAACTGTTTGAAAGCTTTAAGAATTTTGAAGTTTTACTTTCAGTTATTATATATTTATTGCTTTATGTTAAATATTAGATTATGTGTAACAATAATTCATTCTACTTACATCCGAATTACATCATTAGAATAGTATTACAAGAGTGAATGTGTTTATGTTTATAATTGTGTGAATTTATTCATTTCTGTATGCTGATAGGTCCATAAGTTTTTTTGTTGTTGATTCTTTAATTTCTTTTTAAGAAATGTTTATGAACTTTTTAATTGAGAATTTGTAGTATGCAGGGCATTATCAAAAGAAATATGTAGTATACCAAGTATGCTTGAATTATTAAGTCTACTGCCAAGTATCATTTTCTTATTCTTGTGATAGGCCACAGGCGAGAGGTAAGCCGTTTGTTCACCCCTTCAGGTATACAATATGACACACACACACACACCAAAAACAAAACAAAAAAAAAAAAAAAATCTGTGTTCTTTTTTCTGATTCTGAGTTCCTATCATTATATCAGTTGAAATAGACTGCAGAATTTGAACTTTCAGAGTAACAGTCCCAAAAAGATATGTGCAGAGTATGTTCTTCGCTTTTTTTACAGTGACACTGAATTGACACAAAACTAGCATATAAAATTTGGATTTATGATCTGATACTAACTAATATATAAAATTTGAATTTACTAATACAGAAAATTCATTAAATTTGATCAAAAATCTAATTAATTCGTTGCAAACTTCTAAAAACAGGTTCTTAATTCAAATAAAAATTTCATTCAAATGACTTATGCAGGTTAAAATATTATTAAGGATCTTGTGCTAGATTTTTGTAATTATAGACTTTCTAGTCTGAATAACAATCCAGCAAGTTTTACTGCAACGTCAACTTCTTACATCCTAAATTTGACAAAATTAAATTCAGGTATATTTTCAAGAATAAGCAATGCTTCTTCCCTGCGGTTAATGCTAGTATAATTCTTTCATTTAAATATCAAAAGACTTTAATCAATTGGCTCATTAACCATAATTAACACAATACTGAAGGAATTTGATATTTCCAAGAAACAGAATATCTTTCTCATGTCAGTGATCATCGTAATCACAAGCAATTTGGGCATTTTCAATGAACTACAATCAGAGGAATTAATGAAACTTGGTACTAAATTCAGATTAGTACACAGAATCAACAACAGCTATCTGAGCAATATTAAAAATAACCTGAATGAATTTATAATTAAAATCAGCTTATAAACTCACTCTTCCATTCTTAGATTGGGAGAGAAAGGTTTTTAGAAAAATTTAGATTAGAATTAATAAATTGAAGTTTATAGGAAATTTAAACTGGAATGCATTTAAGTACAAAGTACTAAAAATTAAGAAGAATTTACTGTTACCATAATAGATAAAATAAGCAATTATTTCAATATCATATGAAAACAAATTTACAGCCAGGTAGTTGAAACTGAACTTTATCTACATATTACCTACCAAAACATATGAAAAAGAAATTTCCATTATCAACAAACAAAAGCCTTTTCACTACAGACTTGAAATTTCTGCTACACCTGACTGCAACAAAGTCTCTAACCTATCCCAGTTCTGGTAAGAAACTATTTAAATTCAGATCTGTAGTGAATTGGTACCAAAAAGTATTAAGAAAAATATTGACTATAAAAATTTGTGATCCAATTTTAAAAAATTGTTCTATTATTTTTAGTTCAGCTAGACAAGATCACAGTTTCTGTTGGATTATCAATAATAATCTCCCTGTTATTTCAAGAATTAAAAATCTCAAAATTCAAGAAATTCAGTGCTGCAATTTTGAAAATCTCTATACTACTCTTCCTTTGGAAGAAATTTGTAGTTATCTACAATTTCTTCCAAATATGTTTCCTGAAATGCTTACTCATTTAGCAAAAGACAAATGGAAAGATTTCATCCATTGCACATTCTTTTGCAACTTTGCAACGTTTAATGTCCTTAGTTTTAAACAAATTAACAGAATCCCCCTATGGGCTGTAATTTCTCTTCTCAAACTGCAGTTTATTCTTACTTACAAAAGAATATCATTTTCACAAGTCTTTGCACAATACTAATTTAAAATTTTATGCCAATGCATACAGGTACATTAATAATATTATTACTTTAAATAATTTGGGATCTGTTGAGAAATTTCATATATACCCTTCTTGCATAACACTTAATAAAACTAATGCAAGTCAACAAGAAATACTACTACAGATACAATTCATCTACAGAATACAATATTTTGCTATTTAATAACAGTTAAAAATTAAACTGTTAAAAGAAGAGAATTTAAATTTATCGCTATCATATCAATTAATTGACAAACCAGCTTATCAAGAAAAGTTATTAGCAATACAATTATATATCATATAATAAAAAATATCTGCATGGAAATAAACTACTTAAAAGATGAATTGATTATTCACACAAGTTCTTATAGGTAATCAAATTCCTTCCTATTTTATTAATTATTCACTTAATAAAATAAGCATCAACTTTCATATTTATTCTTGAATGATGTGCTTATCTTAAATCCAGATGTTTTGTTTGCTTTAAAGATTTTTATATTTTATATTTAATTGTAAATTAGTGTAAATAGTTCTGGCTACTTTCCTTTCATTAACAAAATGCTTTTTAGTTTCTGAAAACCCTAATATCTCTGAAATTCTGGATGAAGACGTTTGACTGTTATTCTTACTAGTTCCTATATCCTTGACTTTCAACCAGAAAATATTCTAATATTTAATTTTGATTTATTTACTCAAATCCAAAGCTGTTTATTCACATAATAACCAAAAGGAAGATAAAAGTGCTCGTCTAACACCCTCACACATACCATTTAAATTTTGTTGGTGTACATCCAATCAACGGGCTTCCTTTGAATTCAGTTCTTGCCATTCCTATTTACATATGCAGTTTTTGCTACTCTTTCCCACCTCTTTTATGGTAAACCTAAGCATTCTTCAAGTGTTGGTTTCAACGAACATCTTTCTCCATTAAAAAATTTACAATTGCAGCCTTGAAGTTTAAACTATAAGTTAGGATTAAAATTTATATTTTGCGGGAGCTCTTTATATAATGTAATTATAAATAAAGTAATTAAGACATTATAATTATATGATAGATTCAATTGTATAATATTTTTACAGCAGTTATATATACATTGCCAATTTTTAATTGATACTTCTAATTACCTTCAAGTTTGAAAATTAAATTTAAAACCAAATTTTAAAATTAGGTTTTTTTTTTTTTTTTTTTTTTCAATTAAAAGAATTCATTCAAACATACGAAAAAGGCAAAACATGATCGTACCGAAACTGTTACAGAATGTTTGGGGGGGATAGTTACTTCCCCCTTTTCCAAGAAATCATTGGAAATTTCTTGCATTTTTATGTACGTGTCATTCTTTTTCTTTTTTAAAAATTAATGTTTTTGATGCATACCATTACAAATTTTAAACTTTTGTTACAAGTTTTAATAGCTTTATTACTGTTCTCTTAAGTATTATGAGCTTGCACTTCCTTTCCTAGGAAATAATCAGAAATAGAAAATTAATAATTAATTTTGCATTTTTATTCTTAGCAGTGATAGCATTAGATTTTCAAAGTCCATTTATGCCTATAATGTGTGTATATACTTTATAATATCTTTCTTATATCTACATAATATATAGGATATCCCAAATAGAAGTATACTCACATCAAATTTCAGTACAGCACTGCTTTTTTAAGTGTATATGTAGCATAGACATACTAATACAGTCAAAATTCGTTAATCTGGATGCCCATAATCCGGAATGATCGATAATCCAGACCTCAAAGCTACAAACTTTCTGTGCATGCGTCAACGCATAATGCGTTCACCCATGCTCGTAATACCATTACGCATGCGCATATGCGTGTACGCATGTGCGTTTAATATATAACAGACGGTTTAAGCTAAGCTAAAATTATCTAATTATCTATTTCAGTTAATGTTGCAGATTGCGTTGTTCCTTAATCTTTGAATTGGATCCAGCTTATTTTTTGCAGACTGTTAGAGCAATTTTATAAAAGTAAGCTTGAACTTTCGATTATGTCAAATAGAATTTCCGATATATATTTACTAATATGTAAAGGATCTACAAAGCGAAAGTATGTTTCGATGTCCATCAAACAAAAAGTGGAATTGCTGCAAAAAAAATGGATAAAGGCATATCCTTTGTTTCTCTAACTATTCTGAAATCTGTTTATCAATTTCACGCTGCTCTGCAGGGGAGGGAAACGTCGTGGCGCACAATGAACTGGAAGTTGATTTGTCAGCACTATCCTTATCTTCAGGGCAGATGCTTTTATTTTATTCGGCTTATAATTCATTACTAAATGTAGTATTTCATCTCGATGTTCTCTGTCTTTGATATGATTTAAATCAAATTCATTATAAATATCACGAATACACATCAAATAGTTTTTTGGTTGCAATTTTCTAATCTCGATTATGCGTAATGTATGCTGTACGCATGCACGCATTGACAGAATGTTTAATAAATATTAAGCAGATTAAAGACTTTTGACTGTATACTGTATTGCCATGCATTTAAGTAGTTTTGCTACAGAAAGTGTTGAAACTGATCTGCTGCTTGTAGGCATAGGCCAGTTCTTTCTAGCAGTTCTTTCTTCTAGCAGTTCTTTCTTTTAATATATTTTTGTATAGCAGCTTTGATTAGTAGTGCTACGTGAAATTTAGCTAACATTCATTTTGACACAAATTTTAAAGGAGACACATATTGCATATGGCTTTACAATAAAAAGTCTTTGCTTCTGTATCAGCACTAACTTCATATACTGAGATTTCACTAACTAGCTATCATGGGGATACTGAGCACTATCATTAACTATATTTCTTACAGTACTACTGCCCTAAAATTAACAAAACATAACACTCCCCCCCCCAAAAAAAAAACCTGTAAAATTGTCAATGTAAATCAAATTATCATATTTTTATTTGGGGTTCTCTATATATGTATATCTATAGTTATATGTTAAGCATTTTATTTTAAAACATGACTATATATTGTAAATGTTTAAATATATAATATTACTTTGTATTAATTTTGTCATGTTAAATGTTTTATTTAAAAATTTTAGGTTATGTGAATCATTTTTTGGACCATAAAACAATATTCGCAGACTCAAGCTATAAACCTTTTAATTCTCCTGTCAAATTAAATGAGCTGAATGCCAATGATACTCCTGATAATGGTTATGGGAGCAATCTATCAGAAAAACTGGATTCTAAAAATATCTCAAATGTTACTTCAAATTCAAGTTTAAGTACTGTTCGTGAACAAACTATTGAAGCTCGTTTATCTCCAAAACTTGGAGGTAAGTTTCTTTTCTTTAAAATAAAATAGTTTCATTGTTAGTATATTGCCTATCTTTGTTTCTAAAAAGCTTAATCTTTAGATTACGATTTACTTCTAATAGAGCTATTAGTGGCATTTAACAAAATAGTTGCCATCTGTTTAGATGCTATCTTCAAATCGTAAGTATGGATTTTGTACCACTTTAAAATCTGGTTTAAGTCACAGACCATGTCTATTATACATTCTGAGCAAAATTTATTTTAGAGCAACAAACTGTGTGTGGTTATTAATGAAATTAAATACTTTAATCCTCTGACTGCTCAATTTGTGGGCCGAAACTGCTTCCAAGAGTCTTTTTTTTTTTTTTTTTTTTTTCCATATTTTAAATTTATAAATAGGAGAATTGAAAAATGCACTTTTTCTTTCTAGAAAATATTTTTTATACAGATTTTTATCATGAGAAACTAAGTTGCCAGAAAAACCACTTTCAAATCTTATCACAAAGAAATCTTATTTTAAATAAATTTCAGTCGAATTACAGTTAATTTCTATTTATTGCATAATATTTTTGGCATTGATGGTCAGGGAAGTAGTCACATATTCGCAGGTATGTTGTGTAGCAAATTCATTTAATTATTTTAATTACTGCTTATCAAAATTTAATTTATTAACTATTCTAAATTTATGCTATGCAACGTGTATTTCAATTAATTATTTGACACTGTTTGGTTTAATTTTAATTGGGATTTTCTGTACTAGTTACTTGCAAATGTGCTGAAACACACAATGGAATTGGGTAAATTTCTACATAATAAACTAGGATTTTTGTGACTTAATTTAAGTTTAACTCTTAATATTTAGTATCATTAGATGCAGAAAAATTGTTCACTTTCATAATTCATAAAAAGATCACTTTCATAATTCTAGCTTGAGCAGATTTTAAGCTATAGTCATTTAATTAACGAAAAACTTCCTAAGTGTGTTTGGAAAAAAAGGGGTGAAAGAAGTCAAGATTGTAACAAAAATTCCATGTTCGGTTGAGGCGGGAAGTGACTTCCGGCCGGGGGAATTCGAGGGTTGTCATATTGGCCTCTGCACCTGCACCAGGCGTGGCCTTGGATTGGCATGATAATTAAGTTTGTTTTTAGTTCAACATTCAGGAAAAGTAGAAATTTTGCATGGCTTAAGGCGGGAGTTATCGACAACTGGTTTTTTTTCACCTTTTTGGGTGCAGGTTTGGCCAAGGTGGCGGACCCGTCATATCTAAAGGGGGTTGTTTCGCAGGAATTTGTCCTTCTTGACCCTTGCTCCTGCACATCATTTACACTTTTGAAAGAGCTGCTTTGCTTGACCTATGTTCCCTGAGAAATGTCGAAGAAGCGGATTCTCATGGCTTCGGCCCAAGAGCTTGCTATGTTGCCGAACTGCAGTAATTTCTTCAAAATGATGTAAGATATTCTAACCAAAATTCAACGTTTCCTTCATAGCCAGCATCTCTAGTTTCCTATCTATCAGAAGTATATCGTCAAATTCAGCCACCTCATCGACTTTGCCAGCTGCTGAATGATTAACGAAAAAATTTAGTTTTTCTCCTGCTGGTTGTGTGATCTGCTTTCACGAAATCTTCAATGTTCCATAGAGTTTTTAGTTCCGCTCATCGTCTCTTTCTTCGGCGTGAGTTCTTCAGGGAGATGTCTTGGTGTTAGCATCTCTTACTCCATCTTTGAGTGCCTGAGTTAATGGATATTCTACATCCACTTATATCTGAGTCCATCTCTGATACCAGGTTCCTGTTCGTCGCCTGCCTGAGCCATTGGTTCTACATAAAGGAGATCCTTGTAACAAGTTGGTATTAATCCCGTGTGACCACATCGTCGTTCCTCATTTATAAAGATAAGTCATAATCCACTTCTCTCTTAGTTTTGTTCAACCCTGCTAAGTTTAATAAACCAATTTGTTAGGTAATTTGTGAGGGAACAATGGTTAACCATGCTAAACTTACCTGAAGTACCTTGTTAGAAATAAAAGAAAAATTTTTAATAGATATTAAGTTAATGGAATTTGGTTAAGGATAATTAATTTTGTTAATGTTAATTAAATTTGTTAAGATTAATTCATTTTGTTAAGGTTAATTGATTTTAGTGTATCAGATGGCTTAAGAAAACCATTTCTTAACTCCCTTGGCAAGAATTTGTAACTCAAATTTTAATTTTGTTTACTCCGAGAAATTTGTTAAGGTTTGTAAAGTCTTTTGGTTAATTAATTTTATATATGCAATATTGTTGAAATTACATTTGTTATACCATAACGTTATCAAGTAACCTTTGTCAAAACAAAATCTATGTAGATTACAAATAGTGTATAATAGATATGAAAATGTAAAGTGAATAGAAATAGTGCAATATTAAAGTTTATAAAATATTTTTGCGTTTTTCTTTTCTGACACCAGTTGTTACATTATTTTCTACCTTCACATTCCTAGATTTGGAGTGAATAGCAACGACACTTGATGAAGTATTGAGACACGCTTTATTTAGCCAATATTAATCAGGACAGCTCCATAACACTTTTACAGTCATTGAAGAACTATTATAAACACGCTGACACAATCAGCAACATAGCCTTCACACTGTCAGGCAATGATGGTGGAGATAGCTTCACTGCAAAGCACCAGAGTACAGCTCCCAACTCTGCTCGGTCGTTCTTGGAACTCCACGTACTCTCAAGACTCTTCACGGTACAACTCGCGATGCACTCGACGGCACACAGAGCACAGCTCCCGACTGTTCGGTTCAGTCATTCCCGGAGCTTAACACACTCTCTCGATGATGCACTAACTGTGATACACTAAGAGACTCTTCAATGCACTCGGCACTAGACTTCGAGACACTCGTTTGATGACTGATTATCAACTCGCTAGACGAGGCACACACTAACTGACTGCGGAACAGCAGGGTTTATATAGCTTTCAGCTTGTGTCTGAGAACATTCTGTACTAAACCGGTAAGAATTCATTCCAGAAGGTTCTCCGTCTGTCCATAATATAATTTTGTTCCCAAATGTCGCAAAATGGGCGATTTCTTGCCAAATATGGTAACCCTGCCTTCCCTTGCCATTTTATAACAACCCTAAAATTGCTTTGCAGGGAAGCCATCTCACTGCGCCTGTACATTTGTTAACAATATCATATGTCAGTTTTTCTTTTTTTTTTTTTTTATTTTACCCGGGTAAAGCGTATATATTTTTTCTTATTATTTTTATCATTTTGATAATTAAAATTTAACTAATGTCTTTCTAAATAAAATGACATTTTTCTAAAAGATCTAATGGTATCATTTTATTTTGTCTTTCTCCATGCATTCACCAGTCTACAGATTTAGGGTCTTTATGGCTAATACACAGCATAACTTTAAGTCTAAGTTAGGTAGTGAAGAAAATTTAAAATGTGTTATATGTGTATTTTCTAAAAAGGCATTTAACAGGTATGTTCCAGAGCATGAGAGTTGTTGATGTATAAAAAGATTAGAAAAAGCCTTATAGGCTGAATCATAATGCTAACAGAGTTTATGTTACATCATACATCATAAATCAGAACTTAAGTGTTTCTAAAATATTGGAATTAAAAGTCTAGGTATAGGTCTGCAGGTATGTATGGCTTTAATATAACTGTTACTTATTCCTAGTTATTGTGAGGGCAACAAATCTTATGAAGGGATGTGAACAACAAATACTGTGGAGGGATGAATGAAGTTATGTCACATTAAAATCAGATTCTTCTAAAGCTTCTATTAGTCTTTTATAAAACGAAACATATTAAATAGATTCTTCAACCAAGTATGTACTATCAACTTAGAAGGAAAGAACATTTTTTTTCTTTCTTTCTTTTTAGCTCAGAAGGGCTATTAAATTCATTTTGGCATTTTGCGTTGAAAACTTTAAATGTTAGTTCACTTTTCAAATTGTTGCTATCAAATATTAGAGCCCTGTATTATATTTAAAGAAATTAAATAATGAAGAATCTGCATAAATGTATGTATATTTCTCATATTGTGATAAAACAACGGTACATAGAGCCATCAAATTTTGAATAACGTATGTTTCTACCTGAATATGTGTTGAAGGTATTCGTGGTTCATTTCTGTTTACTGTTACAACATCGCTAATCGAGACGAGCAGATGAATAAAACAGAATTAAAGTTTTTACCTTAATAAAGTGTAATCCAAGCTGCGGAGGTAAGGAACACGATCATTGTATTAGCAAACACAAAAATAACATATTTATTAGGTATATGAAGGAAAAAAATATAGCAATGATTACAAGCGTTGTTTACTGTCCATTGCATAACGCGAGAAGTGAGTCGTACAAGAAGAGAATGTTTCTCCTCCCCCCCTTTTTTTTTTTTGGATCAAGTCCAATCACAATTAGTCGGGGTGAGGGGGGAGTTGTACAGCCTCATCGCTGTCATTATGAATTGCTCCACAATCTCCCACTCGATGAGCTGTTTTGTCCGAAGTAAGCCCGATTCCTTTCAATAGAAATTCCAGCTGTTGTCTGGGCAAAGGTTTCGTGAACATGTCTGCATACATCATTTTACTGTTGCAGTGTATTAATTTAACAATCCCTTGATTTTGTAGATCACATACGTAGTGATATTTCACATCGATGTGTTTGGTGTAACTGCTTCCTTTCTCTTTTCTGGAAAGATTTATGCATGATATATTGTCCTCGAATACGATGTTAGCTTCCTGTTGAGCGAAACCTAAATCTCCCATCAGTTGTCTAATCCATTGTAGCTCCTGCAATGTTAAGGCTAGAGCGATGTATTCGGCTTCTGTCGAAGATAGGGCGACACAATTTTGTTTCTTGCTTCCCCATGATACCGTACTGTTTCCTTCCTATTTGAAATATATATCCGGATGTGGATTTTCTGTCAGAGGTATCTCCTGCCCAATCAGCGTCACTGTAAGCTTTGATGACTGGTGCACCATTGGATTTTAGATGTAATTTGTAATTAATTG